ATAGAAATTTAATTTCAAAAGCAATTTGTAGTTGCATCAATGAAAGTTTGACCAATATTTCAATAGCTCAATTTCATTTTCATTTCCTCTTTGCAAAGGTCTTGTTTAGTTTGCCAAAAGCTCTGGGTTTGTGCAGCTGCTAAGCTTTGGGAGAAGCTTTTCAATTGCCTACACTGAAAGTTATTTAGGCAACTTTTACAAATATGTAAAATAATTGTTGATGTGAAACATTGTGAATAGACTGAACACTTTTGTATATAACTGTTATAACTATCTAAAAATTTTATATAAATATATTCAAATGATAATTATATTTATATTATAATGAAACTTGGAAAATTGGAATTGGAAAATTGGAATGGAAATTTTTTGTAGAGCTCGTTGCTAAGTCCCCAGAAAGAATAAAATACTGTATGGATTTACTTCGACGGAAAATAAGTACCATAATTCCATTTCCAAAGTGGTTCTGCTTTTGTAAATGTAAAAATATCCTTCAAATGAAATAGAAAACAGCTGGTCATCTGAATTACTCAATATGATTTACAGACCTTCTTTACCCTCTCTGAGTTATAAATCTAAATCTAACCACACATTGTTAGGTCTTACGTGCACTTGACCAGATCCTCCAGATCATCCTGTGTGAGAGCATATTCCGCAGCTACGACAGTTGATTTCGTCGTCTTGCGGCGACTGCGGTGCCTCCGTCTTGGCACAGCCTTGGCGACGCCTTGTTGACTTGGGGCCAGATTATCCGTGGATTGCTGATAGCTGGGCATACCTCGGACCATGGTCGTGACCACCACGTCGGCCACGCTCTCGATGACACGCTCAGCCGGATACTTGGCTTTGCCAGGCCCGGCGGCCGCTGCATTGGCCTCCTCCGCCTTCGTCTTCTCCGCATAGCTGTCCCTTCTCCACGATGGAGTCAGAGTGCGTATCAGATGCTGCGTGTCCGCATAGCCCTCGTAGTTGTAGCGCTTGCGTAGACTGAGGCCGGATAGATATTCGAGCGTCTGCCAAACGTTCATCTTGTTCGAACCGTAGCGCGGCTCAGCGTCGACTGACCAACAATCGTTGCGTGCTATCCGCTGGGCGAGCAGCATCGTCACCGTTGCACATTTGTTGGCGCCCCTTGTCGGCGCGGGCAGCAGCCATTCGTTCGAATTGGAGCGCGCAACAGTGCCAGCTGTGAGTGGCATGTGGATAACACTTTGTTTACGCCGGAGTTACGGGGTCACACACGTATCACACGTCAACGGCAATACCCTTTCCCTCGAAGGATAAGGGGTATATGGGGATAATAGTTTTCTTACGGCTTGTGGATAACAAACAATAACTATTCCATACCCTTTCTTGAAAGGAATCAGGGTAGATTGGTGAGATATGCATACGTCTATCAATTAGCAGAGATATAGATGGGGCAGTATCCGATATCCAGTTATCCACGTCGGTGTTGAATGTGATAAGTTAGACTTAGATCTCAAATTGATCGGGTATAGCAGTGCGAGGTGTAATCTGTTATACGTATAACAGTTGACTGAATTCAAATATCAATTTATCCATCCATTCAGCTATATCTAAAGCGGTACGTTCATCCAATTCTTCGCTTCTTATCCGCTCCTCTGTACGTGCGCTCGTCCTGCAATCCTGTTTGGAAATACCTGTGTATACCCGCGTATACCCTCGCTTTTATACTTTTATACTCAACAAGCGCAAATTGAAATGTAATTAAGTTTCTTTAAAAAAAAAAGAACACACACATAGGATAAACTTTGCAGCCCGTTGACGGGGTCAGGAGGCGGCTCTCGCGTGCGACGCCGCTGACGGCCGAACTTGATTTGAGACCTGTAGCCAGAGCCGCCTAAACTGGAGCTGATGGCCCCCACCATTTAGGATGAGCAACAGCAGCAGCAGTTGCGTGGCGCGTATCGTGTTTATTGTTTGCCATATGCAGCTCCAAGCCTCGCTGGCGTCGGCTGAGCCACGCCTCTTTCGGCTCGATTCGGTGCCATTAAAAATAATATCATTCTGATTGAGTGACGCGCCGCTTAAGTACTTTCCTTTCATTCCCGTACTGGGTACTGACACCATTTCCGCTTCATTTCCCTTTTCTTTGCCTTTTTTTTTTATTGAACACGCAAAGTGTTTAGCCTACAATTGAAAGACCCCGACCCTAACAGCCGAAAGCTATTAGCCAAAAACAAAAACAAAATTCTACGCAGCGAAGGCTCTAATAGTGGGCTGTGCGCCTAGCAACACCTACATAAGTGAGGCGTGCTAATAACATTGAAAATTCTTTATTATATTTTTTATGCCGAAAAATTGAGTCATTGCGAGAGTTTAGGGATAGTGCATGGAATTCGCAAATGGAATTAGGATAAAAGTGTAGAAAGATCTAATAAGGGTGCTACTCAAGGTTGAAAAAAAAAAAAACTGTTTCTCAATTTATTAAATTTGTATACATATCTTTACTTCCCAAAATATGTTGCCAGACCGTTTCATTATAGAAGTTTAGAAGATCCTTCGCAAACCTCCATATATTCAAATTTAAATAAAATTCTCGCACATATCTCTAATAGGCTCTAAAACTTGTATTAAATATTTTCGCCAGTCTAAGCACAACCTTGAGAGCACCGCAATAGCACTTGAGGCTGTCCACATGGAGCACACCAAGTGGTAATCGACCTATAAACAGAGCGCCAGACGTTTTTACCAATTACTTGGCAAACTTTTGCTGACAGCCCGTCAATCAAAGCGCTTCGTTAGCATCGCGTGACTCCAAGTGGCACATTCATTTCATATATAATATATAGACTTATACACATATACATACATATAGTATCTATAAGGTGTAGCAGCTAGCCTCTTTCACGTGAACTGAAAGTCTTATCAGGCGTGTGATGCAATTGTCTGGGCGCATTTCTTGCACTCGATTAAAGACACGTTCCCAACTTTCATTTGCACATTGAATAAATAATTCAAGGCCGACAGCTAAATGCTATGATGTATGGATGTAATTAGCATACAGCCGATAAAGCTTTGATAGATCCAAAACGCTTTAGTTAAAAGGTTTCGACTTATCTTAGTCTATGAACTATACTTTTCTTCAGCCAATCAAACAAACATATATTTGAAATAATTATGGAAATATATGACCCTCTGCTTATTATGTGTACCCATAGAGAATGCTTTAGTTCGGAACATTAATCGAATCACAGTTCGTGTTAACTTAGCATTAATCGCTGTGCCACAAACTCTCTTATATCTCTTATGCCATATAGTAGTCACCCCACAATCGAAATATTCTAATTATATGTGCAATACTCACGCAACAATAACATCGGGATCCTCCCACCATTTTTTCTGCGTGGGCTCCAATCGCAGACTCACCTGCCGCCAATGATTCTTGTGAACTATCTGATGTAATAACAGATAATAGATAATCGATAAGTAAACCCCTTCTCAACATTTTTAAAAAATTTTCCAACTCACCTTATACTTCTTGGGATCATAGGAATTTTGTTCCTTTTCATTAAAGACCAGACGAGCCATGTCCTTTCCCTAAGTCTATTTGCAGAAACATATATACACGGTTACTAGCTATAAAGCGCAGTGTGTACCTATATATATTTTTATATATATGGAGAGCTATATAATTGTGTATTTCTTACTCCAAACGTTTAACTTAAGATTTCAAATATGACAGATTTTTTAAGGGTAACGTCGTTTAGGTTTGGAGTTTCAGTTGAATTTTTGATAGTAATTTAGAGGAGTACGAGATATCTTTTTATATGAGGAGTAAAAAATAACTGAGAAAAAGACAACGAGAAGGAGAGAGAGACATATGGATATATGGAGGGAGAAAAGAATTGATAGAGACAGAGAGAGGGAGAGGGAGAGGGAGAGAGAGAAATAGCGAGAGATATAACGAACTATATGTGCAAAAAAAATATATATATTTGGTTATTTCATTCAATAAACTTTTCCGTAGAATCTAATTTTACAGTTTTCTTGTATATTCATATATACCAGAAAATTATCTAGCGTATCCATAGCTCAATGGACATATATGGCTCGCAAAAAAATACCGTAAAAGTATTATGCAAATCTCTCTTCTAGATTACATAAGCATTCCATTAGCTTAGCTTTAGTCTAAGTGTCTTTTAAAAGCTTTTCCTCAAGCTCTATTAGCGATTTAAATATTATATTAATTATCTGTCTTGGGTATTTATATGGCTATATAATACATGCCAGAGTCGGCCAATTTAATATCAGAGCAAACACTTAAAAATGCTGATGAAATATAAGCTACATTCAGCATAAAATTCCAAGACCCGAGCACTAACAATTGTTTTGAATGCTTGCTATTATTGTAATAGTCTATACCCATTGAAATGGGCTACTTAGAATGGGGTATATTGGTTGTGTACGAAATACTTTTAGTGAGAGATGAAGGCTGCATTAACAAGCATTTATACTACTGCAGATCTGTAAACATTTCTTTAAAATCGATAAATATCGATTGACGTTATATATGTTAATATACAGTTCTCTTCTCTTGAAAACTATAAATATATATAAATATTATTGGTTAGTTATGCATTCCAGTTTTACGTTCACTCCATCTACATTGATCTTTTACTCAATGCAGGGCAACCTCAAGTCAAACACTCTTCGCAGCTACTATTGTCGCCATGTGGCTCAATTGATAGGCGTTACGAGTACAAGCCCCACACATGTCGCTGATATATTGTGTGTGGTGTTTGAAGTGATTGAGCGAACCAAATGGAGGCTGCTTTGATCGCCATGTCTTGGACTTGTTTGTGGCGTTTATCATGGAACTGGCGCTGTCAACTACTGTGGCTAATTGTGACCTAGGCGAAGGTCAAGAGGGGGGAATATGTTCATACACATCGTTGCCATATCGCTAATCTGTCCAGTTTCCGCATTTACTGCATTGTCCGAGAACTGGAATTGGCCTGGGCGAAAAATCTGTCTCTCAGAATTCGTGCGCTATAAAAGGCCAAGAGCCAAGAGCAGTTGGCAATTAGTTACGTTTCAAGCGTTGCAGCAAACACAGAAAAGCTAAACATGAAGGTGAGACAACAGTTATCCGATTGACAGGCCCAAAGATTAAGCCTAGAATTAGCAATGGCTTAAAGTGTTTAACCTGACTGGTCAAAGGACTTACTTAAAAATATACCCGGTGAAATAGTATAATCTGAAAGAAACTTACCAAATAACATCAGGATATCTAAGGATTAGAACTGACTAAAAATAAGTCAAAGGACTGCAGTTTTTATGTTTCTAGGATATGTCTAAGGATCAAAAACTCTTATCTTTGAACATTTCTGGGCATTTTCATCTAAAAATTGACTATTGATATTTTGTATAATTTGTGAATAATTCATACTTCAATTCAAACTTTACTTTCAGTTCGCCGTTGTCGTAGTCTTGTTCGCTTTGGCCTGGGGTGTCAACTGCTCGATTGTGCCTTTGCTCAGCGCTGGTCCCGGACCCGCTCTGCTGCTCAGTGCTCCCGCTCCGGCTGGCTCTGTGGCTGTGCATGCCTCCGCTGTGCCCGCTGCCGTGCCCGTTGCCATTTCACCAGCTGGCCCCATTCTGGTGCAAGGTGCCGCTGCCTCGCCAGTTGTTGTCGCTGCTCCCGCTCCAGCTGTGGTAGCCGTCGCTGCTGCGCCCGCTTCGTATGTGGCCAAGACTCGTGGTGCCGTCCACGTGGCTCCTCTGCCCGGACATGTGCAGAGCGCCGCCTCCGTCAACCTGGAGCCCGCACCAGGCACCTTGTAAAAATGTTTCGCAATAGACCTTCACATGGATAACACACTCGCTTAACAGACCTGCCTTTGACCTTGCCATCGCTCTCCCGTTTTGTGGTTTTCTTATAAATGTTCTTTTGTTTATTTTCGTTTTCCTGAAAGATTTTCCTACTCCTATGCGCCTGATTCGATTTGGGCGCTCTGCCATCTAAGTCATCTATCTATATTAATAGTCCTACTCTTCTGATTCTGGTCTTTATTCTATGTACAGCTATATCTTTAACGATCTGTTAACCAAATGATATCCGATCAAGCACCCACTGTTGTCAAATGGAAAATTGTTTCAAAATAAAAATATTTGTTTAAAATCAATATTAATATGGACTTTTTATTTATTTTGGATCTACTGCCTCTTAAATGCTTTCCAAATAATTCGTTAGCCCACGAGGGACTTTAAAACATTTCAGACTTGACCAAAAATGATTTATTGATTTTAAAAATTAATTATTCACTATATATATATATTTAT